TTGGCGACGTCGATTTGTCGGAGTGGACGGCGACGTGAGGCAGCGATGGCGAGGAGTATACGCAAGGGAGTATGTCGACTGACTGGTGCAAAAGTTTCAGTGAAGTCGCGACCATACTCTTGGTCGAATCCGCGGACGACCCATCGAGCTTTAAATCGTTCGATGGTTCCGTCGGAGTTGGTTTTGATCCAGAATACCCATTTCCCGGAGAGAATGGGTCTGTCTTGTGCGAGTGATGCAGGGACGATCTTCCAGGTGTTGCGGTCTGAAAGCGCTTTTAACTCCTTTTCCATGGCTTCGCGCCATTTTTCTTTGTGTTTCCCCCCCAGAGCCTGCTTGACAGAGCGAGGCTCTTCAGGTGGCGACGAAGGCCCGTGCACTGCAGCGACGAGTCCCAGGACTTGGAGTCCGCTGGGGGTGTGACGGTTCAGCAAGGGATCCTCGGGATGGACTGCTTCGTCTCCCGTTTCAGGATCAGGTGCGAATACGGGGCCGTATCGTTCAGAGATGTCGGTGTTGACGGGTTGGGGTGTTACGTAACCAGTGTCGGCAAAATGGTAGTAGACGTCGGCATTGTTGCTGTCGCGAGGATTTTCCTCGTCCATGGGGATTGGGACGGAGCAGTAGGGAAGGGGTCCAGCAGCTTCGGAGGCGCCGTCGACGTTTTCTTCTTCCCAGTCAGCAGCGTCGGAGGGTGAAGCGAAGGCTCGGGAACTAGAAAATCCGCCGGTGGGGTCGACGTGGCGTGCGATGTTGTCCAGGTAATGGTTGAGGGTGAGTCGCTCGTAGAAGATAACGTCACGTGCTGCTACTGTTTCCTTTGTGTGGACGTCGAAGATTCGCCAGGCTTCGTAATGTTTTGCCAGCCCGAGGTGTAGACCCCACTGTGCACGTTGCGAAAATCTCCCTGCGCGTGCAGTGTGTGGGCGGTACTGTACCATACACCCAAAAACTCTTAACATTTTTGTGTTGCCCAGCTTCCCAGTCCACAACAGGTGCGGAGATGCGTTGTTGGCCAGTGAAGACGAGGACAGCAAGTTGTGCAGGAGGACAGCGTGGTCCATCGCTGCTGGCCATTCTGAGTTGGGCAGTCGAGTTCCACGTAGCAGCTTTTGCATGGTTGTCTGCAGGGTCCTGTTCATCCTTTCTGCCACACCCTGCTGTTGGTGAGCGTAAGGAAGAGAGATGAGGCGTTTGATGCCTCTTTCTGCCAAGAACTGCGTGAAGTGGTTTGACTGGTACTCCTTTCCGCCATCTGACTGAAAACTCTTCAGTTTCACTCCCGACTCTCTTTCAGCGACAGGTAGCCAGGCTGTGAAGGCTTCTAGAGCCATGTCTCGTGACGGTAAGTTTACGTGCCAGACATATCGCGTTGCGGCGTCAATGAAGGTGATGACGTAGTTCAGATCTTCACGTCCTTCAGTTCGAGGTATGTATAGTATGTCGCTGTAGACTTTCTCGAGTGGTTGATAAACGGGGGCGCTCGGGTTGTGATGTGACGGGAATGGTTGGTGAGGCAGATCTGCTTCCGGGCAGATGAAGCAAGTGCCGCGTGGTCGTTCGAGTTCACGTCCATAGGGAAGAAGTAGGGCGTTCTTGTCTAACACTCCGGCTCGTATTGTGTTGTAAAGTGTTTTGTTTCCAGGATGTCCAAGACGTTGATGCCAGATGTCTTCGGAGGCGCTGTGACCGACGGAGCGTTGATAGAAGTCTGCGTTAGCGAAAAAGGTGGCGTGTGTTGCTGCACTTCAATGAACGGCGCGTGGTGCTGGCGTTAACTGTTGGGCGGCTGTTGGTGGCGTGTCGATGATGAGAGGTGGTGGTGCCACGGAGGGACCGGGCTGTGGAGTTTCGGAAGGTTGTTCCGTGACGACGGTTGGTTCTTCAACTGCAGGTTCAGTGGTTGTTGGTGCTGTGACGGGTGCAGTTGTTGTTTCGATGACGAGTGCTGACTCAGGTGTTGTTGCTTGTGTTTGCAGGACGGCAAGCGCGTTGGTGCGTTCAGCTTCGGGAATGGTACGAGAGTACCAGAAGCCTTCAGGACTGAAGTTCGGGTCGAGGTCTGGCAGATGCGTCCAAGGTGCGAGAGCGACTATGCCGTCGCTGTCTGCGGTGCCTTTGTCGGGGACGAAATCGAGGACGAACACGTCATCTTGTTGGATTGCGCGGCCGATGAAGACCCCCACTTTTCCGTGGTAAAGACGGATTTCCCGGGCGTCGGAGTCACACTCCAGGTGAATGCCTTTCGACATAAATGGCTGACGCTCAGTAAGTTGAAGCCGAGGTTGTCGACGACGAGTACTTTGTTTAGTTGAAGGATAACGTTTGTTTCGTTTGACTGAAGCTCCACGACTCCTTGTTTGTTGGTGCGCAGGTTTTCGTTGTTGGCGATGGTGATGATGACGTCTCGCGGAAGACGTCGTTCGGGCTGAAGAAATCGTGATGAAGAGCACATGTTATGACCGCAACAGCTGTCGAGGAACCATGTGTCTGGTCCGGTGGGTGCACTGTTCGCGATGGCGGCGTACGTTGGATTCACGTTAAGGGACGACGGTGGTGGTGACGGTTGCTCATCAGGATTGTAAGTCGGTGGTGAGCCGGTAATACACGAGTCGATGTTTGACTCTGTTGTTCGTGCCATGGCGACGATTCTTGATGTCTGTGCAGGTCCCGAAGTGGAAGTTGACGGTCGCGTTGAAATAGTCGTTGAGGCGGTAGCGGGTCGTTGTTGAGTTGACGCGATGTGGGGAGGCGCGGGTCGCAGAGGACGAGAGAATGGTGCTGGTTGTCGTTGTTGCTGAGGGCAGTTGAAGCGTGTGTGTCCTGAAGTCTGACACAGATGACAATAAGGAGGTACGTGTCCTCGATTTTGGTAACGTGGCTGTCGTCGATTGGTGTAAAGAACGACTGGCTGATGATGCCTTTTGTTGTTGCGTTCTTCGAACAGGTCCATTTCCTGCTGCTCGGCGTGAAGTTCGGCGCAGAGATGCATTTCGGAGAGTCGACCGTGAGCGCGAAGAAGTGAACGGGTGGTGCGCCATTGAGGTCCAAGGCCGGCAAGAACGACGGTTACGAAAGCTTCTTCAGATAAGTTTCCTCCGCAGCGAATAAGTCTGTCGCGTAGTCCTTGACAGCGACTGATGTAAGGCATGGCCTTTTCTGCAGGTTGCATTTGAACTGTTGTCAGTTGTGCCATGAGTCGGCTTTGTGTAACGCTGTCGGATGCTTGATGAATGCTTCGCAGATGTTGATAGGCGAGTTCCGCGGAGTTTGCGTAGTTCCGGTAGGCGCGGATGCTTTGTTGTTCGTTCGGCGACAGGTTTCGGAGAAGAACGGTGTAAGCCATCAGGGAGTGATACGTATAATTTTCTTTGTCTTTGTCTTCGCCGTTGTGTGGATATGGCCAGGTACCGTTGAAGAATCCAAGAAGATTCGCGCCTTCCATCAGGAGTTCAAACTCGAAGCTCCAAGAGTAGAAGTCCTTCCCGTTGAATGGTGTGGATGTGTGCAGTCGCAGGATGTTGTTGAACTGTGCTTGTACTTGCAGGACTTCTTCGGTGTCTCGTTTGATGGCGGGAAGAGGGGTCGCTGGATGGCGAGGCGGCATGAACGTGAAGGAACCAGGTGAGACCGAATTTGGTGTTTGTTGATTATGTCGTCCGAACGATGAGTTGTCAATACTCATTGGTGTCGCTCCGTTGTTTACGCTGTTGCTGTTTGCAGGTTGTGAGGACTGCTGCTGCGACATGAAGTTGAAGAACTCCTCCATTAAGCTTGGGTTGAAGATTGTTGGCGGCTCTACTGGCGCTTGAGTAGAACGTTCCGTCGCTTCCGGCGTTAATCCGGGCGTTGTTCCTCCTTCGGTCTGCAACTCGGAGACCGGGGGTAGAGTAGATCCCGTAGATGATCTTCTTTCTTTGCCACTTGCCATGTCTTGCCTTTCTTGAATGAAGATTGAACTTCTTGGTTGCTTGCACATCGGTAGCCTGGAAGAGGCTTAGTGACGAGAGCCTTTGTTCTCTGACTGCTCGCATACCATGTTGGGCTGAGGATTTCAACCTTAGGATCTTTGCAGAGAATAGGCTAGTAGGTGCTAGAGTAGCACAGCGGAAGTCTTTTGAGTGAATGTACTTGTGCTGGTATGTGAGAACAAGTAATTGATTAAAGCAAAGAGCATACTGGAATATATAGGAAAGATAGATTACAGGAAGCGGTTATGTTTATCGAGACGCGTAACGCTTCGACTATCGAGGCGGTTACTGTTCACTGAAGCGTGGCTTGCTGTTACGTAACCTCCAGGCGGTTACAGCTCGCAACCTCCAGTTGCGGTTTGATGTGGTACGCGCCTTTTCGACTTCATACCCCTTTTGTTGTGCTTCAGTATCGGGTGAGGTTCGATACTACAGAAATGCACGAAGTCATGCGTTTATATTCCTAACACTACTGATTAAGACAATCCAATAACTTTCTCTAGTTTAATCATGAACAATGGTAAATATAACTGTTATAGTGCAAGAGATTCAGAACTCATCTACTGAAAAATATCATGTAGTTCAAACCTTTGTCATGCTGAACAGTTTAGCTATTCTTTTGCCAATGTACGACCCTTCACTTCTTGTTCTGTTGGCTGCAAGAAGTGAGGCTCCTTTGGGTGAACTGATACCTCCTTCCATTGTCCAATGCCCTAGACTTCCCACTCCATGAAAGCTCCTCTTTGTCACAGGGGAGGGCAATCCTGGTAGGCCCCTCGCTGCAAGCCCTCCTGTCGCACGTCCCTCTGCCTCATCAATCAGCGCACTCAACTCCACAGCTGCCTGCTGTGCTTCCACCACAGCCAGTGCCGCCTCCTGAATCCGTGACCTGGCACTATCCACCCACATCGGGCTGCATGCCAGCTCAGCAGCACGCCAAGAACACCCCCCACAGAGTGAATCCCCATGAACATGACCCGGATCAGAATGGTCCTCTGTTCTCAAGTCGTCTGCGTGGAGGCTGTCTTGCTATGAGAGACCCAGGGCCTCCTCAATCAGAGCAAGTTCCGAGAGAGACGCTCCCAAGGAGTGCCTGTGGCTGCTTTGCAAGCCAGTGCAGAGACCCAAACCTGACGCACTGCGGTGATTTGAATCACGCGTCTCCGAGAAACTGCCTGTGGCGCTCAGAGAACCCAAATTGGCAAAACTGGCGGACTGGCTGTAAGCAGTGTCCCGAGCAGAGCCCCAAGTCCTTCCCCGGGAGCGATACCGATCAGATTCGCCACGAATGTGAACCGGGTCAGAATAACGCGCCGAAATCTGATCAACGTCGCTCATGACCCGCGGAATGCTGCTCGATGACTTCCTTCCCAGTGGCTTCTTGGGCGTTGAAGGGTGCGGGGAGGCATCAGATCGTCGTGTGGGCTCTCCCGGGAACGCCTCCAGGCCTCGGAAGCACATGTTGTCGCAGCGGTAGGAGCGGCCACAGCAAGATTCCTCCAGGGAGACGCGGCCGCTGCCGCTGGGGCTGCGGGGTGGCAGGCGGCTCATTCCCTGCTGCTGCGCGTCCAAAGAGGCCCGGCCTGCTTCCAGAGAAACGCGATCAGCCCACCCTGCAGAATTCCTCTCAGCATCATTCCGCTCAACAGCAGCAGCAGTCAGCAGATCACGCCCGCTGCGCAGTGACGCGTCTCTTGATGATGGAAGCGTGTCTTTCGAAGGCGCTGCTACCGCCAAGGCAGGGAATTCGCCGCCCTGAGGGCGAGCAGGATCGTCGACCCGGGGAAGCGAGTGGGAGGGGTTAACGCGGCGCTCTGAGGAGGCGAAGGGGGCTGCGCGGTTTTCCCCCTCGTGCTCGTCCGCGAGACGTAGGAACGCGGAGGGCAGGCAAATGCGAATCATCTTGAATGGCTGACGCAGTGGGTCACGCGGAGGGGAAGCAAAAGCCACTGTCACGGAGTGGATCGTTACTAACGAGTTTCCGAGTTGATGCAGTGGGTGAGAGCTCCGTGTTCGGCGCAAATGACTGCTCAGATTAGTCTGTTGCTAAATCGTGAGGACATGAAGCGGACTCGAGATTGCCATTCGAGAAAAAGATTGTTAGTAGCATTTCTAGTGTCCGCAAAATGGGGCATGAAACTATCTGAAACTGAACCTGTGGGTGAGGGTGTGAGGACCTGAGGTCCTGGATGGTGTTGCAGCATGCACAGTGGCTTCTCCGCCGGGGCGAATCATTGTGCTTGACGATATTCCCGCCATGATAAATGGCGAATTTAAAACCACAAATTGCGTAGACTGTACTAGCACCGACAGACGATGGTTCAGACTTGAAACCGGCTGGCTCGTCGTAACCAGCCGCGACCCGCGGATTGATAGTAGCAGCGCCCCGAATCGCGTGCTTGACGTCATGGGCCTCGTCGCGTCACGTGATGTTCCACTCGACAGTCTGGTGGAAGTTTGGGGATTGGATCGCTGATGCTTCTGGAAGGGACTGAAGAAGAAGCTGAGGCTACTACTGGGACACACTTAACTAACACCGCCTGACGTGAGAGAGTGGACAAGCCGATACAGCTCAGCGTCACATGGCCTTTCCGCGGAAACATCACTCGAAAGCAGACTGGACAAATCCCCGGCAATGCCGAGTTTAGACCTGCTCGGCAGCTATTTAGGTATCCCAACTACCACAAGATCTGTGGGGGAAATCGTTGTGGTGGGTGGGTTAGTCGTCCTCTGAACCGAATCTACTCAATACATCCATGCTGCTCAGACACGATAACCGCGTAAAAACTTGCTGAACCGTACTGTCCCTGGTTGTTTTGGTCCTGTTTTTTTTTTTTTTTTTTGGTAATTGCATTATACACCGAATAGGCAAGTGTACAAAAGCAAGAACAGTCGTAACTGCGCTTGGAGGCTAGGTGATAACCCGCCTCAGTGTAGCTGCCCTGGCCTGATGCTGCCCCTTCTTTGTCCCGTCCAAATGGCTGCAAAGCCCGCCTTCCACGTCCACTTCTTTGCGTTCCTGTCCCTGATTCGATCCAGAAGCTTCATCTCCTGACTCGGCCCTCCACCACGTGTCACCTTTTGCCCTGATGCGTTGTCTTTCTGCAGTTTCTCTCCCGCGTGTTTCATGAAGACCCTCGCATGCAGCCGAAACGCTGCCTCTATCCTCCATAGTACCCGTCTCAACCGGAATTTTTCCTCCCAGAAAGCCGCTTCACATCTCTCAACCCACAGCTGATGGATAGTGATCGCCGTAAGTGTTGCTTCTGGAAATGCTGAGCTGGACGCCGCTCGCCCAAAAAGAAGGTCGCCCAGCGATGAAATGTTGCGCCCGGGGTTAAGCATCTTGAGGGCTGTTTTCAAAGCTCCCAGCACTGGCTGAATCCTCGGGCACTCGAAAAGACAGTGCTCCATCGACTCCTCCTCGCAGCAGTACGGACATTTTGGCTTCGAACTGAGGAAGGCCAGCCTTTCACCGACCTGTAGGTTGAAATTATGCACCCTGATTAAAACATCTCTGGGGCGACTAGGCGTGGTAAGTGAATCACGGATCTTGGTCACCCGCTTCCAGTCAATTTCCCCCCCCCAACGGTTTGCCCACTTCTCTCTCCTCCGCGCCGAGTGCCCCTGTCTTCTCCATGCTAGCCGCAGGTGCTTAATCGGGGCGACTTGGCCGAGGTGAAAAATGGGTGTGCGGAATAGTTTACCCCCAGGGGCTACAGCTGCCCTTCCCCCCGTGCCTGCGCCCTGATTTCCTTCCGATGAGGCGAGCAGCAGCTCCCTCCAGTTCTCCGGCGCGGCAGCCAGCCCCTTCAGCGCCAGCCGAGCAGAAGCTGTTCCAAGCGACAATGCTAGGGTCTCCTCGCTCTTTACTGCCATCCCACCGTTCGCCATGGGCGCCACCAGGTCCCCCAGCTTGATCTCCCAAAGCGCCTTAGCAGCCTTCTGTCCCCCAACCGGCGTTCTCCCGTTAAGCAGAATGCCTCTGTTGAAAACCAATCTCTCTGCGGCAACTTCTGCTGCGGTGAGAGGCATGCTGACCGAAGCGAACGGCGACGCCATGAAACATTCGCAGGTTTGCTTCCATCGCGCGCTCCCCCCAACCCAGTGTTTTAACAGCTTCTCATGCGATAGGAAAGTATCCAGTCCCAGCGGCAGACCTGCTGCTGCGAGCATCATGTCTGGTTTGAAATCATCCGACTCGATGAGCAGGATTCCGATCCTTCTAGCGGCCAGACAGGTGACCAGAACCCCCGGGTCCTTCACACCAACTCCTCCCTCCTCCCGTGTTGCGAATATCGTTTCCCTCCCCCACAGGATGAAACACCCCTCCTCCGACGCGTGATTTCCCGAGAGGAAATTATGAATCAGCTTCGATACCCGACCCCAGACCTCCTGCGGCGGCGGGTAAACCTGCGCCTGGAAGGCGATGATCGGAGTAATGTAACCATTGATGACAACCGCCCTCGCCGTAATCGTGAGGTACTTCAGCTCCCATTTCCCCATTTCCCCCAGAAGTCTCAGCAGTGTCTTGTCCCATGTCGCCTTGCAGTCGCCTGAGGCGGTGACCCAGACCCCGAGCAGTCTCTCCGCATCATTTGCACCGGCCCACTTGAAACCGTCCGGCCTCCAAGGACGACCTCCAAGATTTCTGCCCAGCGGCATCACCACCGACTTATCCTTGTTTGTGGCCAAACCAGAAACACGCTCGAAATAGTCCAGCATTTTCCCTGCCTCTGCAATCTGCTCCCTCCCCTGCAGCAGAAGCGTGGTATCGTCCGCATAACCCAGGTAAGGCAGCCTCCTCCCCGAGTCACTGACAATGCCCAACTGCCTCTTCGCCGCTTCCTGGGCCAGAGGTTCCACCGCACAGATGAAAAGGTAAGGTGCGAGAGGACATCCCTGCCGCACCCCCGAAACCACCTCCAAGGCGTCGCTCTTCCATCCGTTAATTAACAGCCTTGTTTTCGTTTCCTTGTGCAGGCCCCTCACCCAGCCCACATAACTCGGAGGGAAGCCTATCTTCTCCAGCGTCTCAAAAAGGAAGCCCCGGGAAACAGTGTCGAAGGCTTTTTGGAAATCCACCAGCAGCAAAAACCAGTCCTTGTCCCCTTTGTTTGCAGCATCAATGATGTCCACCACCAGGCTGACCGCATCCGACAATCTCCGGCCCGGTATGAAACCGTACTGCTCCCTCGAGATCACCCGGTGCAGCACCTTCTTCATCCGGTCCGCCACCACTTTCGCCAGTACTTTGTAAGTGAAGTTCAAAAGCGTAATAGGCCAGTAGTTGCTTATTTGGCCCTTGTCGCCCTTCTTGTGTAGCAAGATCGTAACCGCCTCCTTGGTGTTTGCAGGCAGCGATGCAGAAGCTTCGAAGGAGCGCGCCAGGTTCATGAAGCACTCTCCTAGGATGTCCCAATGCAGCTCGAACAGCTCTTTCGGGATCCCGTCCAAGCCCGGCGACTTTCCGCACGCCAACGCCTTGAAAGCATTTTTAACTTCCTGCTCCGACCAATTCTGAGCCAGTCCCTCCGCCTCTTCTGCCGACAGCCTCCGGTCCGGTAACCAACTTGTTCGGTGAGTCCGTTTATCCGTTCCGAAGAGCCCGTTGAAGAAATCGGCAGCCGCATCTAGAATACCCTGCTTGTCGCACACCATCGTGCCGTTGACATTTAACTCAGCTATCCGCGTGCGCTGTTTCCTGGCCTTCACCCTTGCCGACAGGTGCTTCGAGACCACCTCCCCCTTGAGCTCTGTCCCATAACCAGCCATCAGATGGAGTTTGTCCCGTCGTGATGCTTGATACTCCCGCAGTTGACTCTCCTTTGCTCTTAGGAGCTCTCTCGTGCGTGTGCAGTTGGGAGCTCCCATGGCCGCCTGCTTTAGGTTCGCCACCGCCGCGGACAGGTGTCTCATTGTCGCCTTAACTCTCTTTCCTTCCTCCTTAGCATAGGCACGGAGTCCCGCATTCAGTCGAGCCAGTAGCAGAACATAGTCCCCTCCTGACTGCTTCGCCGCTGCTTCAACCACTTTCCTTACCCCCGGTCTGTTGAGCAGGTGGGATGGAAATCTCCAGACACCCGGACCAAGCTTCGCGTTAGCACCACAGCGGAAGGCCACTCTGATGGCAAAGCCATGGTCCGAGATCGGGTCGTCAGGTGACTTATGCGATGCTGACTCCAGGCCGAGAAGCAGCGACCGCGAGATCAGAGCACGGTCAATCCTCGTGCTGGACTGCTTCGCCATCGACTTGAAAGTGTATTCTCTCTTTGTGGGGTGTAGGATGCGGAAAGCGTCCAAAATCTGGAAGACCCCGCACCTGCGTACCAGCTTGGTGTTTCCAGCGGCTGAGCCTGCCCGTGATGTCTTGTCTAGAAAAGGATTATCTATCATGTTGAGGTCTCGCAAGATGAGGACGTGACTACCTGGGTCTATCTGATCAACCACTGGTCCGACAACATCCCTGATGAAACCGACCCGAGCTGCAGGCGATGCTGGAAAGTAAGTCGCTAAGAGAGTGATGGAGAGACCTTTACCTATAACCTCCGTCCTAACGAGTCTACCTGAAGGGTGAGTCAGTGCGTTTCTAAGCTGTATACCAGGATCCCAGGCGATGACAGCGACACCACCAGCTCTCTCTTGAGGCGTAACTGCTACGACTGAGGCTGCACCGAGTTTTTTCCAGTAAGAATGGTTCCCTGCCAATCTAGTGTCTGTGAGGATGTTGATGTCTGCCGCTGCTTTCATCCATGATGTGACCCATGATTGCTTCGTTAAATCTCCGAGCCAGTTCACGTTCAGGCCGACAAATGGCAGTACATTGTTGTTACTCATCTAATCACTCCCTGGCAGCCTTTATTCATCCACAGGCTGAAAGTTGCAACAAAACCGACTACCAGGAGACCTGCCGCTGCCGCCGCTGACCATGCAGCTAGAGTCCGTAATCCTTCTTGAGCAAGGCAAGGGTTGCCTTCTCCAATGTGACACGCGTCGCAGTACCCATCTTTTCCAGCTGCAGGAGATGGTTTGCCGACGCAATGTGGTCCAATGCCGTCATGAAAGACTTCCCCTTTGCTTTCCCGCAGCCCGTCTGTGTACATATCCATTCCTCCCTGTTGCAGCCCGTGGAAATAAGACCAATCGCCGGGTCCTGGAGAATAGGAGTGATCAGTGCGGAGGTGCGCAAGGAAGCAGCTGCGACAATGGACCCCATCGTTAGCATACGGAATGAAGTTGAAAGGTGAGGAGACGAGATACTGTTGCGGGAAAACACCACAGTTACCATTGATCCTATGCACCCTTCCCAAGGTAAGGTGCCACTTCCCTATGTTATTCTGCAGCTCCACGACGAACATATCATGATTTGAGTCATAATGATGCCCGCCACAGAGAGAGCAGGATAGCGAAGGGTAGTGGACCAGAATCTTCCTGCCGTTGTCTGTCGGAATGTTCACCGCCTGCCTCCACTTATGCTTGTCTCCCGGGTGTGGAACGACCAGGCCTTTGACCGTCTCAGTGTCAGCACCCGTGACTGGGTGGAGGACGGGATGGAAATGCATTCCTTCCAGGAACGGCGGCTGCTGGCGAAACTTCAGCTTGTACCGGGACAGCAAATCCTTAAGCAGGTCAGGAGAAATGTTAGCGGGAACGTTCCTGAAAACAACTTCAATAGCCAACTGATTAAGCGACTTCTCCCTGAGATAACCCGGATACTCCGTGTGTTGCCAGAACAGCTTAATCGGCGGACCATTTCCCGTCGACTTCTTGTAATCCACCTCCTTCTGACGGATAATGTTGATGTCGGCTTCGTGCAGGATCGAAACCTGAAGACGGCAGAACCTAGTCTTCGCGACGAATCCCGGTGAAAGCGTCTGGACTGATGCGGAAGCAGCGCCTTCTGGTGAAAGATCCTTCGACCAGACCTTCTTCAACAGCGTCTTAACAGCAATGATGACGGAACCCAACTCCGGCTGCAACATGAACGGAACCAGCAGGATGGCTGTGAAACGCAGACATGAAAGAACTTCCTGCTTCACATCAAGCTCGAGTTCGTCGTTAGGATCATCGTCAATCAGATCAGCGGTAAGCGAACCTGCCTTTTCAGCAACAGACAAACCAGAACTCCCAGCCCCATTGTCCAACTGCTTGCCATTGTCACGACCATTCTCCTGATTCTTCATCGGCGACTTGTCTGATGCAGGAGAGTCAATGTTGTCAGTATTCTCCTGACCCCCGGACGACGTATCAGCAGGAAGCTTGGTAGCCTTGGAGCTCTTTGGCGGCATGTTGTGATGATGATAAAGCAGCAGCGTAGCGTTGATGTCGGAATGGTAGCTAGAAAGTTGTGCTGCCAGTCTGAACAATGGCTGCTTAAGTAGCTCCTTGACGTCCTTGCTCCAGTGCCATTGCAACTTTGAAGTTAACCAGGACCCATTTTCAAGGCCCGAAATAAGTGAAATAAGTTGATACACTTGAGACTCCCTTGGCAGAACACCTTGTGTGATTGGCAGTGAATCCTTAATGTTGATTAAAGCCGCGGTATAATCAGTAACTGCCATGTCAGCATCGGGATTAGCCATAAAGCCAAGAGGTACAATGTCCGTTGCGTGGACACATTGGTGGTATCTCCTGGTAGCTCGCGTCATGGCGATGCTGTTGGTAATGGTTACGATGTCAACTGATAAGGCAGCTTCACGAAATGCAGGATTCCAGTAAGCGTAAGTCAGCCATGGCGGAGAGAATAAGTTGATGCTGTTCGCTTTGGTCCTGTATTTGTTTGTCGGGGAAGTAAATCAGCTGGCTGTTGCGCCTGTGGTTTGGAAGAAATATATTCGACCAAACCGGAGCCAATCACGTGTTGGGAGGATCTGGCCCCCTACAATGTGCCCACTCTCATCTCAAGGGTGAATGGTTTGTACGCATTGAGAAACTCTGTACAGTTTCGAAGGTCTATGCCATGCTTATAGCATTGCTTATAGGGCTGAAAATAATGCAGCAAAACGTGACATGAATCATGCTTTGCATTAGCACCGATTACGCCTACAGATTTGAGTACACACACAAGGAGAAATTGCCATTGATGATGCCAGTAAAGAATCCAGCAATAGGTTTTGTTTGGAATTAGAATTAGCTGATGCGAGGCACATTACTACAGTGTTGCGTAACTATTTGTGTTTTCGATTGTATCGAGCAATTTGGTTGGCCATCGATGGAGGCGGGACATCGACCATTTTTCTAACACCAAGCAGTTCCACCTGATTGTTACGAGTGCAATGAAGTGAACGAGCGAGAATTGCACTATCGAAGCAAGAGTACAATGAGCGAAGGTATGAGCGAAGAATATATAGCGAAACTACAGTGGTAACGGTAATGGTCGCGCGACGAGCCTGGAACTGAGGTTGGGAACGTGTCGAAGCGTAGGCCCGGAGCGCGGGTTACCAGCCGAGCCGTGAGGTCGGGATGCGATGTGCGAAAATGGCGGGATGATGAATGATGCGATGGTTAAGAGTGGTAACGGTGCTGACTGAGGTGCTACAGTGGTGTACGCGTTGAGCAGAGATGCGAAGTAAGGAAAAGGGAATTTCCTTACACTACCCCCCCCCTCCTAAAAAGGTCCTCCTTACAAAAGCGCGTGGACGTCTTTGAAGTTTCGGCTGCGTAGATAGTCGGTGACGACAAGGTGGTTTTCAATTCTGTCCAGGGGAACCCAGTTGTCCTCGGTGGGTGTACGATCTTTCCAGCGAATCAGAAACTCCACTTTTCGGGCCCCTCGAGGGTCGCGAACTCTGTGGCTCAAGATTTTGTCGGGGGTGATGACTGGTTCGGTTGGTGGTCGTGACATGCTGGATGGTCGATGTCGTGGGAGTTGGCTGGTGGATGGTACGTAAGGGCGAAGCAGGCCGACGTGGAACGAGGGGCTGACGTACCAGTCAGCAGGAAGGAGGAGGTGCGCGGTGACAGGTGTGATCATGTGACTCATTCGAAATGGCCCACAGTATCGAGGGCGGAGTTTGGGAGTGATGGGCAGGCGGAGGTTCTGAGTGTCGAGTAAAACGAGGTCGTCGGGCTGATAAGTGACGGGTCTGCGGTGGCGATCGGCGTTGCGTTTAGCGATGATATTTGATTTTTTAATTGCTTCTGCTGCCCTGGTCCGTGCTGCTTGCAAAATCTCGGCGAACTGTTGTGCGCGTGGAACGGGATTGTCGGGGTTTGGTGTCATGGGTACTGTTGGGTTCTGTCCGTAATTCAAGTAGAATGGCGACTGTTGGGTCGTGGCAGATGGCGCGTTGTTGTATGCGAACTCGATGAGAGGCAGCTGCTGCTCCCACGTGTTTGGATCGTCACACGTGGCTTGAATGAGTTGCTCCATAGTCTGGTTTGTCCGTTCTGTGTGTCCGTCGGTTTCGGGGTGATACGATGAACTGAATTGAAGTCGCGTGCCGAACTGCTGCCATAGGTTCCGCCAGAAATTACTGGTAAACTTCGTGTCCCTGTTGCTGATGATTGACGCTGGTATCCCGTGCAGTTGAACGACGGTGGCGATGAAGAGTCGGGCTGTTTCCTCGGCTGTGATTGATTTCCTGCATGCTGCGAAATGTGCCATCTTCGTTAGTCGATCGACGACGACGAGGATCGCGTCATTCCCACTCGCCTCGGCCGGTAACCCCGTGACAAAGTCCATCGTCACCTGCTGCCAAGCACGCTCTGGAGGTGGGATTGGTTGTAATTGTCCTGCCGGCCGCTTCCTGGTTGACTTCATGAGTTGGCAAGTGGGACACGATGCGACGTGTCGTTGCACGTCGGTCAACATTTCCGGCCAGTAATAGTACCGCTGCAGCTGTTGCCGTGTTTTTTCTACTCCGAAATGTCCCGAGGTAACTCCGTCGTGTGCCTCCTGTAACAGTAGTTCCCGTAGTAGCGTGTACCCTGGTACCCAGATGCGGTCGGATCCAGCTTTTACGTAATAGGCTCCCTTGGCTGCTGCGAATTGCTGTGGATTTCCTCCTGTGAAGAATGGATCTGTTTGATATCCGTGGGTAAATAGTCCTGTCAGTAACGGGCTGGTCTGGGCGAGTAGTATCGCATGTATTTGGGCAGTGGGGCGGGTCAGTGCGTCGGCGATATTCGAGGCTCCTTTTTTATATGTGACCGTATAGTGGAAATTCGATTCGAGGAAATCGAGCCACCGAATCTGTCGTGGGTTGAGGTGGGGCTGTGCGCGAAGGTACTGTAGGGATCGATGGTCT